CGTCGACGAAAACGAAAGATACGAAGTATCGATATTTTTTATCGATGAAATATTAGTATGATATTTTCAAATGCATGTGCTGTTATATATCCCATTTAAATTATTCTTTATTTCTATCATCTAAGCTAATTGCCGCGGAAAAATTACTTTAAAGCTTCGACAATATTCACGCTGGCGTGCTATATAGGGTGTTCGGTAACTTACAAAGGAGTATACGGTGTACAGGGAGATTAAGCCAAACTGAACAAAAAAATCCTCCACCATTTTCCAAATGACTAAGTACATGTTTAATTATTAATTAAAGAAGATTGATGTACAATTATGCACAAAAATATATCTTCTTTAATTAATAACTGAGCATCTACATGGTCATTTGAAATGATAGATGATTTATTTGTTCAAATTTCAATTTGACTTAATATATAAGCATACAGTGGTAAACATCCGTCACAATTTATTTACCATATGGCGTGATCATTCACGAATCTTCTTTGACTGATAACTTAAGATTTTACATGGTTGTTCGCAAAATGGTAGAAGAATTTTGGATTGATTTGTTTGATTTAATTTATCTATATTCCTTCGTGAGTTACCGGATATTTTATATACTGTATTCACGCAACCAATAACAACGTAGTCGTGCTGTCAGCTGACAGCATTGGGACGTTACATGTTACGTAACGTGGACTTGTCCCCACTGCCGTGTCAAATCCGCTGGTCACACGACTACGAGTTCATTCAGCTTTTTGCCCGTGTGTGAATTCGTAAATGTCATTGACACTCTATTTCGACAGCGCCAAGCTGATCGAGAGCGTTGTTCAATAATCATCAATACACACAGAGAGTATCTTACTTAACTCTAAATTCTTTTATTATTTTCTTGTTTTTTTATTTATTTTTTATTTTTTTTATTTTTTATTAATTTTTTATTATTTTTTATTATTTTTATTATTTTTTATGTTTTTTTACTATTTTTATAATAAATAAATTGCTTTTTCATGGAAAATCAAGATTTTCTTGAAGTTTTAAGTTTTCTTGTTTGAAACATATTTTATATTAGTACAAGAAAAAATATCTAAAAATTAGTAAATATTTATCTGGTGGCGAAGAATGCTAACAATATATTTATTTAAATCTAAATTATTTTATATATATTTAAATAGAATAAATAATTGTTTTCATGAAAAACTAAAGTTTTCTTGAAGTGTTAAGAATATGTTTGAAATATATTTTATTATTGGTCAATATGCTGTTAGTATTTCTTTTACCAGATAAATATTTAATTTTTAGAGATTCTTTCTCTCAGTGTAGGGGTTGTAATGATATAAAATATAATTCACCGGAAAGATTCCTTAACTTTTGACAGACGTAACAAACATACAATCGTTTTTCTAAATGAGAATTTCGAAAATTATATTTAAATTTTCGAGCATACTGTATAATGCAAATTGCACCATTGATTTCTTAAAAAAATTAAAATTTTTTTTGGAATACAATCAAATATAAATCAATTTTTCACTCTTTTGTTATTTTTTGTCGGTTTTTATATCATCATTGTCAAATTTCTTTCAGTCAATCTTCTCTTTTTATATTAAAAATATAAAAATTAAAATTGATCAATTCGGAGACGAATTATGAGTAGGCAAAAATTGCTGGTGCAAATTTGCATCTCGAAAAGTTAATAAGATTCAATTTATGATGGAAAATATATGGATTGTGTCGTCAGGTGAAACGAAAGTCAGTTTGTGATGGGAATAGGAACTCCTCCAATTTGAATTGCTAATATCGTAAAACAGAAATTACTTTTGCGAATATAAAGTACTAATTATAAAAAAGAAAACAAGAATAAAGATATTTTTCCCTTAACTTTTATATTTTTCTAGAAATTTTGATTGACTCAGTAAATAGTCACGCTAATATTAAATCACCATATAATCAGTAATTCTTACGCGATCGCAAATAAACAAGTGAGTTCTATTCAGCAAGAAATTAAAAGAGTTCAGAAGTATTTGCGAATAAGTTTACGTATTTACGGCACCATGCTGTATGCACATAAAGACGGACGTAAATAACGAACTAATTTCATTTCAGTAACGGCGTTTAACTTTAATCGTAGTTTAATTGAGAGACCCCCGCGTCTCTTTGTAGACTACGCTACAGTCTATTGCATAAGCAAACGCGGAAGATTTAATAAACTGCTACTAGTTATAGTTGGTAAATATTAACGTATTCTTATTAAGTGATAATAGTGTCTTCGTGCCACAGATTACTGAATGAATCAGTCGGGAAGAGGGCCCGCAACACACCACGACCTCGTTCTCTCGTTCGAACGATAAGATCATATCGCACATTTCCGCGGAATTTCCAAGAAGGATTCAATCGATTCTTACGTGAATTAAACCTTCTCATGACACACACGTTATAGCCATTTTACTTTGGCACACTGGAGTCGTATTTGTCCTCGCTTATTTGCATTTTGTAAAAGTACTAATAGAAATCTATAAAAAAATAGAAATCTATAAAAAAATAATAAATATATTTTCAAATCTGTAGAATAAAGTTACAAATAAAATGAAGGTAAATATGCACTTAAATACTTCATTTTATTGCAAATACAAAGAGAAACGCGATGAAAACGTGAGTTTACAGAAAAATATATAACTTTTAGGGGAATAGATTTGAAAAATTAACACTTTAGGATTCCGTTATTAATAGTTGGACTTTTAAGAAAAAGAAATGTTACGCGTATTTCAATTTGTTAAAAAATGATTGTTTGAATACACGAAGATACATCATTTTCTCAGTCGAGACAAATAAAATCAATAATAGTTTCAAGTTTTTGCAATATTAGTTTCTTATATTGCGGATTTTATTAAAGTTTATTGCGTTGCAGATTTTATTAAAGTTACAATACAACCTAATACAAAGATTACCTATATCTAAATCTTGTTTTTTATTCGTGATTAGAATTTTACTGCACAGAAATCTTAATTATAAAGAGTGTCTTAGACTCTTCCGCAATTTTTGTGGAAACATAGGACGAATTGAAGTAAACATAAAAATCCTATACGATATTATCGTACGTTATTATGAAAAAAATTGAAAAGTTTACATTTTAAAAAATTTTTTATATTAATATATTCTAATTAATATATATCTAAAAATAATATATATTTTAAAAATACTTAAAATTTTTTTGTGAATATATTTTTTTAAAACTTTGTGTTGTATTCTGATATTTTCCGAATATTTTCATTTTTTTATTGTATCTGAAAAATACTTACAAAATCTGATAAAGTTTTGTACTTTTCCTCAGAATTTTCTGTAAATGTAAAATATGAAGAATTCTGGGAAAATGTAGAAATTATAAGAAGCTTTTCCACTAGGGAGAATTAAAATAGCTCAAGATTTGTCAATCTCATATTGTCACTAAATGTAACTTCTTTTGCGCGTGAACCGAAAGTTCTCATTCCATTGCGAGTAATCCAAAATTAAAGATTGAATAGGGTCAAAAGTCAGATCAGTGTGTTAGAGTAGGGTTAAAAATCGGAGAGGATTGAAGAGGTAGGAAGAGTTAGGCAAATCGTGTGTCGTTCGTTAAATGCGCTCTGGTATCGATTCCATCGAATTTGGACGCAGGCAAACCGGCCGATTTGCTCGCAACGTTACCGCGCTTCAAAGCAATAGGCAGTCCGGTATAGCCTCCGATAATTAGCCCGAATCATGTATACTCGTTAGCGTAAGTGTCGGCGCGTATAGCGGTAAAGTGATGCGCTTGACCCACATATGCGTCGCGTATTTGCGAGATGCTATTGCAGCTTGCATGCATGCAGCTTGCATGCGGCCTGCATGCAGCTTTGCGCCGGCAGCTCGTGGGCTGACGTACTCGCTGACTTGATACGCAAAATCGATAAAACGCACGCGTTTCTTCCGTGATGCGCGCTGCGTCGGCGATGTCGTCTCTTTCATCCTCGGAGAAGAATACATCGAACATGAAAGGACTCATTTTTATTACCGTCGATAACGGCGATGCAATATCATATCGCGAGTCGACTCTGTCGAACATGCATAATCTCCGCGTAAAGGTTTGACGAGAATTTTACATCGAATATTCAAAATATCTTTGATTTCCTATTTATTAGAATAGTTCTTCAAGTCAGAGTTAGGACGATGTCTGCTATTTATAGAGAGGAAGTGAGTGAGTAAGTGTATAGAGGAATTGCAGTGTGCTTTGTCATTTCAGTCCTAAAGCTTCTCTCTCACTTTTACACATCTTTAAAAATAAGATACATCTTTTACAAATAAGATACAAATAAATCAGGAATTATCATACTTTGTTTCAATACTGATTACGGTAACTCTAGGCTAGAATAAAGTTTCTCAAGTTAGAGTTAAGATACCGTCTGCCATTTGTAGGGAGCAAGTGAGTGAGAGAGTTGGACCAAGTATATTCAATTCAGAGGAAATTATGTCGGAAAATAAAAATAAATTGTCATTATAAAAAAATTCTTTCATTTTCATTCGTAAAATTTTACAATCTATTCTCGTTTACTCTACCGAATAATTTTCTTAGCAATAGAATTTCTCTCTCTCTCTCTCTCTCTCTCTCTCTCTCTCTCTATACTAGAGTTTCTCTTTCATTTCCACTTGCATCACCTCTAAAAATGGTATTCAGGATACAGACCAATCAGCAATCATCGTGCTTTGTCTTAACTCTAACTAGAGGAATTTTAGTATTTGTTAACAAATATTATGTATATGTTATGAAAAACAGAATTATGCGAAGTAAAATTTTATATATTATTCGCGAAGTGTAATTCACACATTTCTAGTTTACTCTGTGTTTGCTTTCTCCACTTTTAAGAGATAATCGTGACTTTAAGTTAAAAGAAAATATTGTTTCCTCTTTATGCGCGGCGCGAGACATCGTGTTTTCGGTAGGAATTTTGCGAGGAAATTCGTCGCGTTTCTTCGCGCATCCGCGAGTACGGTGGACTCACCTCGATATATCGTGCCAGCTTTGGTACGATCGGAATATTTCTGCCACATCTTGACTAATCCTGGATCGTGATACATGGGATACCCGCTACCCTTGGCTGCTCTGCTCTGCCTCTTGGTATACCTCCACATGGCGCGCAGCTCGTCGCACGACGGCTCGATCAGATCCATTCGTTTGTCGCCGATGTCGCCGTTACTTCCCGGTTGCGGGGACATCGGATCCATGTACCGTATAGCCGCGACAAACGATTCGCTCGTGCATGTCACGACGAAGGCGATACATACGGCCGCGGTGCGCATTTTCTGAAACCGCAACGACCGAGATTAATCGCGCGTTGACACGCGGCAGACGGAAACGCGGGGAATGGTCAGGCCGGAGATAGGAAACCATCTCGCATTTTCGAAGGGATTGCTTTTAAACTCTAGATTAGTGTTAAGCATTAAGAAGATGCAAGGCTCAGTGTCGTTTTTGCAGTAACGTATCAAGGGTATCAAGTAACCACTCATAAACTCACTATATTGCATAAACATAAAAATATAAAATAATAACATAAAAATATAAAATTACGTTTCTATATTCATTTCATTCTTTATTTTATTATCTAAGTGATAAATGTTAATTTGAGATAAAGTTGAGATAAAAAATATTAAAAAATATACAATATTAAATATATATACAATATTAAAGACACGAAAAAATTACTTTTTATTTTTTTATTGCTTTATTTATCTTATTGCTTTATTTATATTACATTTATTATATATTATATATTTATATACATATATTATATATTTTACTTATATTATATTTATTTATTTTATATCACATACGTTTTATTATATTATTAGTAGTGGTACATCAGATCTAAGGAACACGTGTAAAAAGTATCAACTTTATTTCATATATCTTTATTTTATATATCTATTTCTATATATTACTTATAGTAGTATATATATTTTTTTTATTGAGAAAACATTTCAAATGAAAACAAAATATTTTCTTAAAGCACTATTGCTTCTCATGAAAGCAATTGTTTATTTTATTCAAATAAAATAATTTAGATTTAAGTAAATATGTTCTTTATTACTCATAATATTTCTTATTTTTTCATATATTTTTTCTTTCTTGAGTTTCCATACTTGAAAGGATTCAGGTGAAATACTTAGATTTGAGTTAGCTGTGAGTTTCTCAGCTGGATCGCGATTACAAAAATGTAATGTCGTGTATATTATATGATTTAAGTAAATAAAAAAACAACTTAAATTTAACTCAAAACATGGGCATTTCACGTGGAACAAGTTTTAAGTAACGTGATCCTGCGTAAACTCGATAAGACATTTCCCAATTCGCAACGCGTGTACCTTACATTCATAAATAACAATAAAACCGGGTGACGTAAAATCGAGCAGAACGGTATATTGTTAGACTGCGCGGGTTGTCGAAATGCTTTCCGTCGCAAACTTGCCTCGGGCGGCGACGAAATCAGGCAGGCGTACCCAACAAATGGAAAATCTCGGAACTTAGCAATATACCGTGACTGATATATACGCAATCCCTGATAAAATGGAATCCATACGTTTCATAATGTTCACAGCTACTCCGAGATTCCTTTGAAGAAGTTCTCTAAGTTCTGAGAGGCAATCTCGCGGTTGCAGAGTTTAGCGCGGTGATTGAATTAACATTTCAATCAGTTCGAGTTCGTAATCCGAGCGCTGAAATACGAAAGTGCAAAGTACCTGATAAAGTACAGAAATTGATTTAAAAAACAATTCATTTAATATATTATATTATTTCTGCAACGTGTTGAGAGGGAGAAATCTACTTTGGCAAATTTCTCCAAGATACATTTTATATAATTCTGGTTAGAGATATGATATTCGAAACCTCGAAACCTCTCGAAACTTTGAAGGGTTTCAAATTTTGAGGACTCGAAACTTTGCGCTATTTTTTTTAATTCGAATCTATCTATTTTATCTATCTATTCGGATTGAATTTTTTTGTATCTCGAATTTGAGATAAAGATGCCACTTTCGATTTTAGTTTTTTTTCAAATTCAAAAGTAATTGTTTTCACCTAGTTTCCATATAATTACTGTTTCATATTCTATCTAATTATATTTAATAAATATTATATTTAATTACGTCTAATAAATATTTGAAATTTGATTTTTTGAAGAATTTTTTAAAATTTCTAGTATCTAAGGTAAATATCCCAGTGAATATCCCAGATTGAACGTGTACCGATAATTGAATTATTAATAATATACTTGTATTTGTTAAAGTGTTTATCAATAAATAAAACAAAATCACAAAGTAACTAAATATTTCTTTTCATTTATTATATTGTTTTATATATTGAAAAGCATCTTAACAAACAAAATACAAAACTAATATGTCAATTATTGGGACATGTATGTTCGATCACTGGGGCGTTTACCTTATATTAGAAATTTAAAACTTGATTTTTTGAACAAAATTTTTAAGTTTTTAGTTGCTACTAAAAAATATTCCTTTTGATAAATTATATATTAATAAAATTGCTTTCCACACTAATTAGAAGAATCATATTTATCTGTATTAAGTTGAAAGATTGATTTTTTTTAGTAAAAAGTATAATTATATAGATGCCCGTTTTATCATCAATTACCCTCTCTTTTTTTAATTAGCACTTTAAATTTGAGTAGTTTCAAATTTCAAGAGTTTCGAGGTCTCACAAAGTTTCGGAATCGAGTTTCGAGGATTTAAAAATCAAGTTCCGACCCATTTTTAATTTTGACATTACCTTATTTCGCGATTGCATTACGATCTTTTCATAATTTAATATCGCGACGAGGTAGAAAAAGATCTCTCTCTCTCTCTTTTTCTCTCTTTCTCGAGCCCTTTCTCGACTGCTCGATCGCGATTTATTTCCATGCTTTCACGTCGCGTCGGTTCCTTACAATACGCGTCAAGTTCAGCTGCAACATGGAGTGCTTTTATCGGGAACGCGTAGGCTAACTGCGCGGAGCAACAAGCTGTTTGCACCGCATCGTAACCCGCATTAATTAAGCATCGCGCGTGTTGAGTGCAACCGCGCCGGTTCGAGGAGCACTCGCTCGAGCACTTTAATTACGCTTGTCCTCGAAAACGCCGCTCCCCGATCGAATTGCCGGAATGTAAATCGGATCGAGATCGCAGCCCAGCGTCGTTTCCGCTTTCCCAATGACAACGACGAATCGAGTTAGTGATCCGAGCTTGGGGCCTCGGTTGTATCTCGGCTTGGGATTTTCGGAGCTTTTTATCGCGGCGTGTGAGGCACACCATTCGCGAGCGTTCGTTTTCAGTAAAATGCCAGTAATTCCGTGAGTTGTCGTAAACTATTGGTCGCCCTTGGCGTGAAGGAAAAGGAATATAAAATGGACAAATCCTTCGACTAGCAGCGTCGGTCTTTTCTTCCTTGAGCTTTCGTGAAACACGATACATCGCTTAATTCTCGCTCGAATAATTCTAGCGAGAAAGAGCATTATCCGCTCGCAAAACTTCGACATTGAAACGCGCGAAGGTTCACTTTTCTTCCGCTCATTTTTCTCCGGCGCGATATCGTACACGTGCGACTGCTCGACTGTCTGTAATCGTTTAATACCGCTACCATTTCTCTGGTAGTCGAGAGGCATTGCAAATTAAATTGTTATAAGTTCGTATTATACCCGTAATTGTTATATTCGTTCCAGGAATATTGGATTAGAGAATTAAAGTAAACATAAAAAATATTATACAAACACACACAGGAATAAAATTAATGTCACACATACGTACAAAAGCGCGCACGTTTCTAAAAACTCGTTTAATAAAATAGCTTCCTACAGGTTATCGCAACAGATTTGTAAAATACATATTTTGGTAACACATTTGCTAAAAATAACTTAGAGATAACATGTACCCTTTTCAATGTTACGTAATCATTTTTTATATGTCATACATTTATTTGATGATTAAGGATGTATAATTAATCTTCTGCTTAGATTTCTGCTTAGACTTTAATATAATATTCTTCTAAAATACTGCTTTGGGTTATGTATATAAAGCCCAAGCCGGAAATAAGACATGTGTCATTTCTAAACGGTAAGCAGTTATGGCTCGGTGCTTGGCGAGAAAAACTTATATATTTCTACCATAAATTTCCCTACATAACAACCGCAGTGTGTCCGAAACAGCTTTGTATGAGAAGCGCAAAGTTTGTTTATGAATGCCGTACATTTAGAGTAATAAAGTTACTAAATTTAATTAAATTTTTACTTTAAAATTAAAATTCAAGTAAATATTATTTTATCATCGTAAATAAATTATTTGTAAATTATACGATGTTTGTAAAGCTATAAATTATATACAGTGTTATCGCAAACGTATAACAACGATAAAATAACTCGCAAATAAAGCTGTTTGGAGCATCGCTCTTGTATGTAGAATTAATGTATCGTTTTCTTATAGTTTATGGAGATTAATTATATATAATTTTTATCACAATCACATTGCATTATTTTATTATTTTTAAGGTAAAATATGATATTTTAAGTTAGCAATTTATTTAATGAAAATCTGAAATTATTCAACTTTATCTTGTAAAATAATTATTTTTTTTAAAGCTAAACGTAATAATATGTTTTATTTAAAAAAATTCAAGTTAAATTCTTTAGATTTCTATATATTGAAACGCTTATGCGCGCGTACCTATTTTTTAAACAATTTTATAATTTTTTAAGGAAAACACGATTTTTTTGTAACTACTAGAAGTTTTCTTCGTTTTTATCAAAATATATCTAAATATAAGCAAAGATTATAAGATGTATATTTGATAAGAATATAAGAAGGATGTTGTTTTATTTTATGCATTAGTGCGGAAAAAACACGAATATTTGTGCATGAAAAAATAAAAAACGACGAATTTGACCAAAATTTATAAAGTACTATCTTACCGTAATTTTATCGTACGTAATTGTCACTTTGAATTTGATGGCAAATTTTATATCTCTATTCTTAACAATCAATGATAAAATGAAGCTCACGATTCTCTAAATCCTGGTATATAATATATTTTATAATCCCATTAGGGAGATTATAATACATGTATTGCGATTTCCTTAACGTATATATTATCTTATTATAATTGCAATATGGAGGGAATATAACAGAGATATTGTCACTCATTAATCCGCCCGACTGCAACAGTGAGTGCAATCACTTTGGCAAATCGATGGAATAGTTTCGGTACTCGAGAGCGAGCGAGTGCGCCGATATCGTATGATGCACGTTTCAATGTGTGGGAG